GAGAGAGAGAGAGAGAGAGAGAGAGAGAGAGAGAGAGAGAGAGAGAGAGAGAGAGAGAGAGTCTCTCTCTCTCGCTTGCTCGCTCTCTCTCCCGCGCACTTCCAAAGGCAAAATGGGAAATGAATCTTCCCGCTTTCACGGGAAGATGCATTTACCGTTTTGCCTCTCTCTCTCTCTCTCTCTCTCTCTCTCTCTCTCTCCATCCATCCATCCAGCGCGGAACAGTTTGTTCTGTCTTGTTTTTTTCTTTGTTTTGTTTTTTTAATTTTCATTTTTTTTTATTATGAGAAGAATGCCTTTTTTTTTCTCTCTTTTTTTCCCCTTCTTCTACCACTACGTCCGGGAAGTGAATGCCCGGTAGTCCAAGCCTCGGCACGGATCCGCGTACCGGTCGGCTTAGGCTCGGACTCGATAGCTGGGCCAAGTACTGGTGGTTTAAGAGACTTTTCTTTTCTTTTTGTTGACTTTTGTTAATTTTCCTTAACATCTTGAATAAGTTCTTCTAAACCCCCATGGTCTGGGCGTCGGATCTGTTAGATGAACTTAGATCCAATGGCAGATAGTGTGTAACTGGCGTCACACTGTAGAACATTTCTAAACTAAACCCCTGCTAGTGGGTCCAGGCCCCCAGTAAAGTAATAGCTACCCAAAGCAGTGCAAGGTATTGCAAAGTCTAGAGGGAAAAAAAAAGGAAAAAATGTGAGTTGAACAAGCAGTAAAATCAATCCAAAGCATTTCAAAATTGCAGAACGGAAAGAATCGACACAAAGGGAACAAAATAAAAGAACGCAAACAACCACCACGACCTCAAATTTTATTTTATTTCATTTCATTTTTTGGACTTAAATTTTAAGGACCGGATGAAAATGGATGGCACATTGCCTCTCCAATTATCCCAAGATTTCCCAGATCACTCCTCCCGCCCCTTCTTTCCTTGGTCGACCTGTGACAGTATAGGCATGGCTTAGGGGATATTACTCCCACTTGTATTTCCCACCATGTATCCAACAGAAATGACAGCCAGGTTCAGCAAAGAAAGTTCTGATGTGAGCGTGTGGCATGGCTTAGGAATTGTACGTTTTGCAGAATCTGCTGTCAGGTTAAATCCCCCGTTCGCACGAAAGTTGACAAAGCTGCCTTCCAACTTAGGCTCATGGGCCTGTGACTGCACACCTTTTCAAAGTGGTCTGCCGGTTCCACTACCGGCCCAAGCCCGAAGCCAAGCGCTCTTACTGCGTCTACTGGTAAGAGTACCACTTAGGTTTGTATGGACTGGTGATCTGTGTTCACACTATGTAGGACGTATTTATTTTAGAAAAAAGTGAAAAAGACGACCAGCCGATTTCATCTGGCAACGAACTGGCGGCTCAAAGCAGTCCTGCGCTGGCTACTTAAAATGGTAAGAACAATTTGGCCCCAGCTTTCCTGGACGTATTTTGACTGCAACTACAGCCATATTCAGTCCCAAAAGTCTTAGTTACTAAGAGCAAAAAGAGCAGTCCATTCTGGATGGGACCCTGGACCCCATCGACTGGATCCCATCAAGAATTGATTGTCCTTTTTTTTCTCTTTTTTTTAAATGAAAATTGTCCTTGTTGTTCGGAGTAACTATGCCATCGTTTTTTCACTGCGTATAGCTCCCCGTGAATAGAAAGGAGCCATCAACTACCGTCTTCACCCAAATACAACGTGCTGTTGTTATAGTTGTATATGGATCCTCTTTCAGTCTTGATACAACTATAATAACCGGGCATTCTATTTGGGTGAGGACGGTAGCACACGAACTCAACTTTGAGGATGCAATACCTCCAAGCCTCTTTTTCTTTCCCACTGAACAATGTTGCCCGCACCGCGGACTCCGAATCGACGTGAGTTTGGTGCAAGCATTGCATTTTGGGTCCAAGCAATCTACCTTCTTCCCCCGAATACAAGGTACGGTCATTGTAGCTGTATCTAGACTGAAAAATGCCTCAAATACAGCTATAATGACCGTACGTTGTATTCGGGGGAAGAAGGTAGTTTCCATCCACGCATGGAGTTCAGTGCAGATATGCTTGCGTCCATGGCTGGCCTCCATCCCTGTACCCAAGACTGCGAACCGCAGCGAGTCGGCATCCAATTATAGAAGATTGAGGCCAGCCATGAGCTGTGTAGCACAAAAACTTTTCGGGCTATTGATGGGTTGAAAAAAAAGATAAAAAAAAAACAGGACCAAGGTATTAAGTTACTATTAACCATGGACAAATGAGTGAAACCTTGGGTTTAAGAGATTAACCTATGGACTGTGTTGGTGTGCTTTCCATGACAAAAAGAGAAACCAATTACATACACGTGCCAGATCCCTCAAATTGACAGCAAGAAACATTAACTCAATTGACATTAACATAATATGATAATAACTATTACTAAGGTTATTGTTATTCTTTCTATATGAAAAAAAAAATCCCCAAATCCCAAAGAGAAAAAGAATCATTGAAAACTTGGAGTGTTGGAGAGTTGTAGAATATGTGACAGGCAGGTGAACCAAAGGGTTGACTTAGGGGAGGTTTAAGGGGTTAGTCTATGGGCTGAAAAAGGTGCTGTGGGGAGACTATTAACCACTTGTAGGGTCATGGGAAGAAGAGAGGGGGTGAATTCTCCTGAAACCAACATTGTCTGACACTTCCTCTTAACTTGCGCTTGCAAAACAATAAAGAGACCACACTTTCGATGTACCAGCCTGGTGGCGACCGACTCAATTTGTTTTGGAGCTTAACATTTAGGTTTTAAATTCCGTGAAACACAATACGGTTTGCGATAGTGGTGGCTTAAGGGATGAGATTGATGCGGCAACCGCCGGGGAATAATGACAACAGACATGTACCTGCTACCTCTTCACCCCGAATTGAACATACCGCCATTTTCACTGCACCTGGACTGAAAGTTGCGTCAAATACGATACAATTACCGTATGTTCTGTCAGGGGAAGACAATAGTCAACTGAAAAGCTTCTTACCTGATCGGCTGAAAATCGATTCAAAATTCGCCCAATTGGATTTGAATGGAAGAACTGAAGGGGTGATCCCAAAACTGCGCCTAGCATGAACTTATGTATGTTTGACGAGGCGACCAACATGAAATGAAAAAATAGTGCAGCTCTGGAATAGCTTAGGATGCATGTTCCAAAGACGAGACCCTGCCACCCATTGCAAAAGGGCAACAACAAAAAACAAACAACATTAACGGTGGTGGCAATGGCAACAAAAGCAAATAAAAGCAATAAACAACAACAAGGGATAACAACAAAAATAACAGAGAACAACAGCAACAACAACAACAACAACAACAACAACAACAACAACAACAACAACAACGACGACAACAAAGATAACAACATCATGAATAATGACAAACAACGATAAGACAACAACTCAACAACAGTCGATACAAAAGCAGACAAACAACAATGATGACGATAATGATGAAGATGATGATAATACTAATGATGATAATGAGATGACGCACGATGATGATGACGATGATGATGATGCATTGATGATTATGGAGATGGGAATAGTGATTGATGATGATCGCAACGTGAAAAATGATAAACATAATAAGTCCAACACCATCAAGAATAACAACAACAAAAAAAAAAGGCAAAAAAGTTGAAAAAAAAGAACATTGACAACAATAGCACGAACACCTACAGCCAGAGTTGCAACAATGGCAATGACGATGAAAAGCAAAAATGCGTACTCAAGAACAGAGAGGCCAAATAACCAAATTACATGCAATTCACCACACCCCACTCATTCACCGAGCCAAATTTCCATATTAATTAGTCAATACGTTCATCAGTTGGATTAGTTCTGGTTTGAGAAAGAGAATGGCTTTGCATGGATGCCTACCTAACTACATGTCTGTAAAGTACCTGAAAGAGTTTCACTAATAAGAAGGTGACAATGTATAGAAAGAAGGTCCGAAAATAAAACCACCAGTACATTTCCCTATAGAAAGAAGGTCCGAAAATAAAACCACCAGTACATTTCCCGACCATTTTTTCTAAGTCGCCGCTCGCATGCTGCCGCAAGTGTCGGGGTCGGCCGCTAGAGCAAATGGTCAGCGTCGCCGGCCAAAAGGAGGCCGTTGCCAATTTTTTTTTTTGGCACGCAGGGCGTTTCGAGCCCTGGGAAAAAGTGCCTCCAAAGTATTGGTGATTGAACCGGAATGAAATGACTGAATGAATAAAAGTTGTAGGTAATACCCAAGGCATTGAACATGCATTTTCGTGGACATCTCAAAACTATCAACCTCCCCAATGTAGCTCATGATAAGCCCACAAACTTCCCAATAATACTCCTAAGGTTCAAAAAAAGAAAAAAAAACGTGATATACACACACAGAGGGAGGGAGAGAAATCCCTCTCCTTATAATTTCTTCGCACCATGTCTCGTGGTATGTGTTGGTATTTTTTGTGCATACGTTTCTCTTAGACTACCGTCATCACCCGAATAGAACGCGCTGTTGTTACTGTTGTATGCATACTAAAGTATGCACCAAATACATCTATAATGACGAGGCATTTTATTTGGGATACAATGGTAGTAAGGTAAGACCAACTGACCTAGCTCAGTTGGTACACCCTTGAACTGTTGAAATGCAGACCTGAGTTTGAACCTCAATGAGAGCAGATGACTAAAATACTATAATTTTGAACTACCTAGGGCGGGTCAGCTCGATAATGATATCTCAAGGTCGTTGCCCTTTCTAAGAAAAAGAAAAAAGGAACGGTAGGACAGTTTGCTCCATGGTGGACACGGAATGCTGTCTGTACATACTCAAAAAAGATAATAGAGAGGACAAATGAAATAAAAAGAGAGGAATTGTGAGGGTGTTGAGGTGCTTTCACACTTAGCCTCTCCTCATGGAGAATTCACACAGACAATCAAGCATATTGATTTGATCGTGATTTGTAAGCTTCGCATTGTAGTCCCTCCCAACTTGTGAACATTCCACACAAAATTATGTGAGCTCAAAGTTCGCCTGATTTATGTACTAATTAAGAATAATAAAATAGAATCACGGGCAAAATATGGCTCTATGCCTAAAAGGCTAAAATTAGGGTTGTGACTCTATGACTGCTATCCAATTTTCGAGGGGAACATCCTTGTGTCCCACCAGCAAGTCAACAAGCATAAGTACAACTAGTAAAAAGTACTTACTACTAAAAATAGTAAAAAGCATAGAAAAATATAAGTTTTCTCTCTCGCTCATGATGATGCAAAATCCCGAATGTTAAATAACAATTGCACGTTAGTGCATTGCTCTCGTCTTTTCCAAATATAACTCTTCAGTAGGCTTCTCACAAGACCAAGAAGCAACCCATCCTCCTCCCACCCCCTCTTTATTTGGTATGTTATTCATGATTTTCTTTTTCAGTATCCTCACTTATATTTTCGACATCGACTAAAACAAGCCTTTATCATTTCGACAACGATACATGGTTTTCACACAAGTGCCTTATCCATTTTGTTATCCTTTGACTGTGATTGCTGCATGCAAGTATACCTGCACATGATTTTTTATGTAAGGTTATCTGACCGCTTATCAATTTCCTTATCCATTTCCTTACCCATTTCCTTATCCATTTCATTTACCAAATTGTCTCAGGTGATACACAGTGTAACCTTATCCATAAAATTATCCATAACCTTATCGGTAACCTTATTTGTTACCTTATCCATAACCTTATTCGTAACCTTATCCGCAAGACTGCAACCCTATCTCACCATGTAAATAAACTTGGAGTGCCCTTCTTGATCTTTCTTCATTGACCATATCGCCAAGTACCTGTTGATCGAATGGAAAGCAATTAAGAAAATTACAAAAAATGAATAGAAACATGAGAAAGATGACAATTGGCACATGAGAAATACGGTTAATACCTCGACGCAGTTTGGCAAAACACCGAAAAGTAGAACTGGAACGCGACATGATCATATCGGTCAGCAACTTTCATATGATGTCCAAAACCTGAAAGTTGGGACTGTGAAGCAAATACCATGATCCCTAAACCCTAGACCCTAGACCCTGAATCTTAAACCATAGATGCCAAACAACCATATAGGATAAGGAAAAAGAATATTGCATCATATAGTGATATATATGCAAAAACAACACACATACCCTAAAACGTAAAACCTGAACTCGAAACCCAAAACACGAAACCTCAACCCTTCAACCTTAAACCCTAAATCCTAAACCCCGAATCTTAAACACAAACCTTAAAACAAAAACCATAAACTATAAACCCTAAACCCCAAACCTTAAAACCTAAACCCTAAACCCCAACCCCTGGAAATCTGTGAGGAGACTTTAAGCAACGCATCTCACATGTTTCATTAATGAGTCAGAAAGAAAGAAAGCGGCAAGCCACTCACTTTGCGTCTACTTCAGATTCTGATTTTGCTGGTTTGCTCGATGCTGAGGCTTTCTTTTACGTATGTATGGTCAGCAGTTGTGTAGCAGCGAGGTTCAAACTCTTATATCCTAACAATAACTGCCACTGATTCAAAGGAAAAGGAAAAAGAAAGAAAAAGGAAGAGGAAAGAAAAAAGAAGAAGGAAGCCAGACCATAATGAGAGCTAAGTCAATACCACCATGTGCATGCAAATGCCTTGACAATGTAACGTCACCACATGCAGATGTATGTAATCCACGTCGACGACTAGATACAACTGGCTCCATATGTGAAGGCATACAACAACAAGAATAATTGTCCATGCACCCACTCATATCCGTAATAGTTAATATCCTCTTAGGTCACAACAATGGTTTATGCAAACCTCCTATCATCGGTGTCGGTGTGATGAAAGGCATACTCACACTCTGGATGCATTTGACCGCATTGTGTTCACAGCTCAGTCGAAAAAGTCCCAGTGTGAGTATGCATTGAATGTATCAGTTTACAACGTGCATGGAACCATACATACAACTCCATGGTCTAGTAGAGCATCACATGCTGGTATAAGGGTGTGCGTGCACCCACAAATACATCTGTAAGCGCAAATGGGCACACGTAAGGATGTGCGAAGGCCATTATCTGGGAGTACAGGTGGTACATCCACCACACGCCTATCCTGTGAAGCCCATAGTTCGGTCGGTATGGCTATCAAATTATCAATACATCTGCACAGCTCAGACTAGATAACACTACAGATATTCTCCACCTTTCTTAGACAATTCCCTAAACTCTCTCGCTCTCTCTCTCCCTCTCTCTCTCTCTCTGTGTCTGTGTGTTTGTGTGCACCTGTACATATATATATATATATATATATCGTCAAATAGAACTGCCCGGTAAACCGTAGGCAGAGAGGGAGAAGAGGACAACAAACGAGGGGCTGTGACAAACTGTTTATATATATGTATATGTATATGTGTGTGTGTATATATATATATATATATATATATATATATTTCGTCAAATAGAACTGCCCGGTAAACCGTAGGCAGAGAGGGAGAAGAGGACAACAAACGATACCCATTTCTGTCTCTCTGATTCTCTCTATCTTGAAGTGAATTCCTGTCTCTTTTTCTTTTGTACTCCCTGACTCTTGATGGTGGCGTGGTTGCGCAGTCTGTAGCGTTCTACTTGTGGTGTAAGTGGTAGTCTGCTTTGGTCCATGCTCTATGTGTGTTCTGCCTTGCAAGTGCTGCTTGACTGCTTGGCGCAGTTTATTTCCCTTGATTTGCCTTCCGGCCCTGCTGCCTGTGCCTTGCTGCTTGCCTGCCCGCTTGCCTCACTTGCCCCACTGTCCTTCTGCCCTCTTGCTCCCCTTGCCTTGTTGCCCAGGTGCCTGCCTCGCTGCCCACATTCCTGCCTGCTAGACTGTGGGCATGGCTGATACTTGGCTTGTTGCTTTGCTGTCTGCCTTCATGCCCACCCACTCCCCAACCGCCCACCTGCCCACCCTTTGCTTTACTGCTGCCTGCTTTGCCTCACTGCTTGTGTTGTCACTTGCCTAGCTTCCTCTCCACACAGGGTGGACGTAGACTACGACTCAAAGGCATCGTCAGTACGGGAGAGTGTTGAGGGTCCAATCTCTTGGCGAGCCAGTGAGGGTCCGACAAAACAGTCTGCCACTATCCTTGTTCTTTTTTCACCCCTCTTTCAATTCCTGTGTTCGTTTTCTGTTGTGAAAATGCATCACAGATGCTGTCATTCATCCTTGAGGGGTAGTGGTTTACAGCTACTTACGAGCAATCTGGGAAAAAAAAGGAATTGCTTAGTTCTTCATGGCATAGAGAGGGCTGTCATACCAGTCGGACAGAACGCTGACTGCCTGTCCAATGCAGAGCAAAGCTAAGCTTGCGAGTGCAGCAAGTCTTCCGAAGCACTTTGTGTAGCCCCAATACACACCCCAGCTTACAGCTCCCGTCTTTCCAATTTCTTTTACCACTATTCCTGCAATCAGGAGAGAGAAAAAAAAAAAAAAAACACCTGCCTTAAAAAAAAAAAGGAACACAAAAGGAAGACCCTGGCTTCTTGACAAAAATACAACTGCCTTACCCAAGAGCCTAGCTCAGTGGGTACACCCATGAACCGTTGAAACTTGAAATACAGACCTGTGTTCGAGTCCTGATGATGGAACTTGATTGATGAGTAAAACCACCTACTAATGAATTGCCTGGGGCCAGTCAGCTCAATGACAATATCTCAAGGCCGTCGCCTTTATAAAATAAAAAAATTAAAAAAAGAAACTGCCTTAGCTTAATTCATATCCTAGAAAAAATTACACCTGCCAGAATACAAGAAAAGAACAAAAAAACTAGGCTTCCTACGCCGCCCGGCCGGGCCGGCACGGCCGTGCAACCGTGCAGCCTGCACGGCCCGGCGGCTGCACGGGTCACCCGTGCAAGCTTCTTTTTATGTTTTTTTGGCCTTTTTTGAAGTTTTTTTTTCTTCTTTCCGGTGATGGGCCTCTGCTGCGCCTGCAGAGATCTGCCCGAATCTGCCCTGTTCGTACTTGTTTGCCACATCAGTATTTCACGTGTGGCAGGGGGGGGTAGGGTTGGGTGTCTCGATGACTCTTGTTCAGAGGTGGGAGGTGGCAGGAGTGGGAGGTGGTGGGAATGACGTCCAAGATGGTGGAAGGGAGGTTGGAGATGACGGAAGGGAGGTAGGAGATGGCGAGAGTAAGGTGGGAGATGGCGGAAGGGAGGTGGGAGGTGGTCGGAAGAGAGGTGCGGGAGGGACGTTAAAGATGAAGGGAGTGAGGTTGGGGATGGTGGAAGGGAGGTGCGAGGTGGCGGGAGGAGAGGTGGGAGGTGGCGGGAAGGAGGTTAAAGACGGCGGGAGGGAGGTAAGAGATGGCGGACGTGAGGTTGGAGATGGTGGCAGGGAGGTGGGAGGTGGGAGGTGGGAGGTGGCGGGAGTGAGGTTGGAGATGGTGAAAGGGAGGTGGGAGGTGGCGGGAGTGAGGTTGGAGATGGCGGGAGGGAGGTTGGAGATGGCGGGAGTGGAGTGGGAGATGGTGGAAGGGAGGTGGGAAATGGCGGAAGGGAGGTGGAAGATGGCGGAAGGGAGGTGAGGGATGGCGGGAGGGAGGTTGCCCCGGCGTCCCTGAAATTACCCCCCCAAGGCCTGGGCGCTGAGGCCGCACGGGGCCTGACCGTGCGACCCGCACGGCTGTGCACCCGTGCAGGCATCCGTGTGTGTCGGGGGGGCGACACACACGGAAATGAAGCCTAGCAAAAAAAAAAAAAAGGAAGCTTCTTTGCCCACAATTCCTGCAGCTATGGCAAATCAATTATAAATAAATAAAGGCCCTAGCTTAGGCTGATTACTGGCGGCAGGTCACACCCCCCCCTTAGGAATCGTCAAAGCCTTGCCACAGTGGACACGTAGGAAATGCTAGCTACACACATCTCCAAATGACGGTCCACATGGGCCTAGGAATGGTACATACACAGGAGAATGGTACACACTTTTGGGAATGGTACAAATAGACCTAGGAATGTTACGTAAACCTAGCAGTGGTGCGCACACCTATGAATGCTACGTACACCTAGGAATGGTACACACACCTAGGAATGGTACGTACACCTAGGAGCAGTATAAAAATAGGCCTAGGAATGGTACATACATGTGCGAATGATACTCACATCTGGGAATGGGACACCCACCTAGCAAAGCAAGCACACCACGGCATAGGAATGGCATGTACACCTACCGTCTTCCCCCGAACATAACGCACATGTGTTGTATACGACTGCAATGCAAGGTTGCTTTCTATTCGAGTACAACACACGTGTTCTATTCAAATCATCATTTTTTTTTTCTGAAAACTCAAATACAAGGCATATGCGTTACGTTCGGGGGAATACCCTACCTTCTTCCCCCGAATACAACGCACGGTCATCATAGCTGTATTTGAGGCATCTTTCAGTCTAGATACAGCTATAATGACGGTACGTTGTATTCGGGTGAAGACAGTAGTTACTGTAGGAATGCTACACATAGGCCTAACAATGGTTCGTAGACCTACCGTCTTCGCCCGAATATAACGTACGGTCATTATAGCTGTATTTGGGGCAGCTTTGACTCTAGATTCAGCAATACTGACCATACATTGTACTCGGGTGAAGACGGTAGGGATGGTAAGGAGACTTAGGAATGGTAGGTGCATGGTGCAAACTGGCCTACCCTCTTCCCCCCGAATAGAACGCATGGTCATCCTCATGGAACTTGGGGCAACTTCCAGTCTTGATACAGCAATAATGACCATATGTTTTTTTTCGGGGGCCTGGCAGTGTGAGTGGTGCAAATTGGCCTACCGTATCCCCGCAAAATAGAACTCATGGTCATTATCACTGTATCTAGACTGCAAGTTGCCCCGAATACAGCTTTAATGACTGTGTGCTCTATTCGGGGGAAGGGGGTAGGAACACAACATACACCTGTGTGGTACACACACCCGGGTATTGAACACCAGACGTACGCCTATGGGGTACACACACCTACACACACCTGGATATGGTAGTCACGGGCCGAGGGACAGACATGCACCTAGGAACCTGGCCATGGAATGGGACTATGGTACACCTGGGAATGGTATATGAAATGGTACTCCCTTATCCTGGATTTTCCTTTTCAAAAACCGCCAGTACCTTTCGCCACTATGAAAAAAAAGGTGCGGCTGTTAACGAGGGCTTATGCGGACGGTGGCGGCGGCGGCCAGGTACATAGAAAAAGCTTGGCGCGGCGCCCGCGGCCGACACATATGGGAAAGGTACTGGCAGTTTAATATTGTATTCTTGTTGTCATTTTTTTTTTATAAAGTTTTTTTTTCTTTCCTTTATTGTTTTATTTTGTGGGGGACCTAAGGAACTGCAGAAATTGCAGCTAAAGTCCTCTGGGCTCAGACATAGGGGCTCGTTAGACACTCCTATTGAAATCCTCGAGCGAAAGGAAAAATTCCTTTTGGTTAAAAAGGAAATTTGGGCCCTTCGTTCCACCTGTCCTTGGGGACGTCGCCCGGGGTGCTTGAGGCCTTCGGCCAATAGGGTGCCGCCACGATCCAGATTCTCGGTTGTAACGTCTCTCTACCCATGTGAAACGCGGATTTCTTTTGCCCAGGGGACCTCGTGAGGTCCCTTGGGCAAAAGGAAGAAATGGCTGGGGAATCCTCGGAGCCCAAGGAATTTCCTTCGGAGTGTTTTCACTTTTTTTTTTCTGATTGCATCCCCTAGGATAGGTGGAACGAACAATTCCTCGGGGACTTTACGCGCCCGAGGAGTGTCTAAGGAGCCCCATACGCACATACAAAGATCGCATAGGGCCTCCCTCCGCTACTCAACAATGTACATGGATTTGGACGCACTTTATTGGACCAGATGCATTCCTAGGAGTCCAACATTTTATTTATTTGTTTATTTATTTATTATTATTTTTTTTTATATACAAAAAATTTGGACCATTTCTCGATTTATGCGTGTCATCCTTGCGCAGAGGGGCCACGCTAATCTTCTCTGTATCGTTCCAATTTTAACGGATGTCCCGAAGGACAAGTCCAACATTTTGAATGTATCCGGACGATTATTAGCTCCAGATACATATAGAGTGGTGTGTAGTGGAGTGATGCCCATAGTACTCCTCAAACAGACAGGAATCTGTCATGCTACACTGCCTTTACATTCACTTCAAGTTGCAAGGCTGAGGGCCTATCTGCACCACTTGCCATCCACCTACATTTTGAATGCATCTTAGCTTGGAGTTTGTCCAGATTAATTCAAAATCTTGGTGGATGGCGAGTGGTGCAACTAGGCCTGGAGTCCTTTCATACACAGGGTCCTGGAGGTGTGGTCCTTGCATACACATGGGGCATGAAGTTGTGGTTAAGAAAAAAAGAAAAAAAAAAAAGAAAAAAAATTGTCCGGAGGTGCTTCCCTTGGTGGCAGAAGCAGGAGGAGGAGGACCTGCACCTTTATTAGAGCTTCCGTCATCACCCTTGATCCTCCGGGTGCCACCATGGTTCTTGTTTGTGGCCACCATCTTCTTCTCATTGTCCACCTCCTTATTCTGGAGCTTGGCAGTTACCTCTTGCTCTCTGTCGGCTTCCTAGAACCACCAAAAGAGGTGGGGGGAAAAAAACAGACAGAAAGATCCACCAAAGAGGCAAGAACAGACAATTAGGCCATTAGGACGTTTCTGACAGAGTATAGCCAAAATTGCGATCAAATACCTTTTGAAAAATCCCCCAATCCCCACTTTTTCCTAGAACCACCACTTAGGGCATACTCACATAAACCTGACCGAAAGCGCGATCACACCGAGGAAACTCCAAACGTCTTCACCCAAATAGAACATACACAGTCATTATGCCCTTATCTAGACAGCAAGTTGCCCCCAATTCAGCTATAATGACCGTGCATTCTATTCAGGCGAAGATGGTAGTAGTGTGAGTACACTCAAAGGGTTTACAGACAGTAACAAGGAGTAAAAACACAACAACAACAACAACAACAACAACAACAACGACAACAACAACAACAACAACAACAACAACAACAACCACCACAACAAAAACAACAACAACAACAACAAAAATAAAAAAAGTGTGCCAAGATTGGTAGCAGATAGAATGGCCTTGCAATAGTTATTGGGAATGCTTTACTGGGACCTGGACTGGCGTCGGGAGCAGGACCAGGGCCAAGAATTGAGCCCGAATACACCCCAGTTGTGGGATATTAAACCACCAGTACCTTTCCCATATGCCGGCTGCGGGCACTGCGCGCCGGCCTGGAAATCAAGACTGGCCGCCGATTCAATTTATCGGCGGCCGCCCTTCCGTTTCAGTCCCCGTCCGTTTCAGTCCAGCGCGTTACCCAGCGTGCCTCTGAAAAAATTGCTGGGAAAGAAAGGTACTGTTGGTTTAACTAACTATCCCTGGTAGGATGAGGTGAAGTGAGGTGGGGCTCCTAGAATGGACATAAAGAAAAATGGAGGGCATGAAGTGTTCTGCACGTAGATTGGCTACGTTGTCGCGATGCAAATTCACCCTGACCGTTCATGCATACATGAACAAAGCGGGACAAGAACAGTTCATACACATGTCACTCCCTTTTTCTTTTTCTCCTCTTTTTCCTCCCTCTTTTCCCTGGCTCTCCAGGTACCCGCCTATCCCCTCCCCACAGCATTCACACACCCTTGTGGCAGAGTATTCCAGTCTCCGGCGCCCCTCCGGGGACTGAACATCACTTTGCAGCAAAATGTTAATACAACACTGGAAACATAGAACAGACTATCAGGAAGATGGGCTGCACAGTTAACCCCCCAGCTACTGGGGCAGTCAATGCTGGCAGCCAGGACTTTTAAGAACAAAGGGGGGTAGGTAGGGGTTGCTCATGGTTTTCTAAATTCCCATGGATAATTCTCAGTTTTGAAAAAAAGGGGGAGAGAGGAACTAGTGTATAGCAGCAGGGATCTGGCGCCGGATTCATGGTGAAGAGGTTCCCCCCTCTCTCCAATAGCCTGCTCAGTCAATCCCCTGGCTCCCAGGGTAATCAATGCTGGCAGGAACCTCACACAATCCTGTTTTGATATACTCCAAAATCGGTCTGTATATGGGACACTGGACCCCTTTTCCAGCAGGTGATGCTCCCCACCAATAGATGGAGCCTCTCCCCTGGTGATACCGTCTTCACCCGAATACAAGGTACCGTCATTATTGCTGTATCTGGACTCAAAGTTGCCCCAAATACAGCTATAATGACCGTACCTTGTATTCGGGTGAATACGGTAGCGGTGTCTGCTCTTACCAGCACCAATATGGCACTAACACTGGCCGGGGCGTGTTTAAAAAATAAAAATAAAAAAATATCAAAGTTCATACACATGTAAGGTTTGCACAAGTTGGAGCATGCACATGTGATGAAGATAGAGACTGGCAAACTACTATGAATGCTGCAAATTGCTTCAATGAGTGTTTCCGGAAGAATCAGAGTCAAAGCATCAAGACGATACGTCAATCTCAAGGAGAACAGCAACTACAAGCAACGGCTTTCCTCGGTGAGGGCTGGCAAGCCCCGACATGTTTCTCCCACTGCAGTGAACAGGCGTCCAGGGGGTCTTAGCTGATGGAAGTGAAAAAGGAATAGAGTTGACACTGTGCTCCCAGTGATACTACCGTCTTCACCCGAATACAAGGCCCGGTCATTATCGCTGTATTGGACTGAAAAGTGCACCAAATACGGCTATAATGACCGGGCGTTCTTTTCGGGTGAAGACGGTAGCTCTGTTAAAGCACCAGTACATGGGCACCTGGGCCGCGGGCCTGATGCCCAAATTCTGGAAGCGGAAAACGAAAACGCGACCGCCGATCCAATTTATTTATCAACAGCGGGCGCAGCGTTTGACGTTTCGGCCTCGTTTTCTTGTGGCGCAAGTTTCGGACTGCAAGGCTGGGGACCGCCGTGTACTTGTTGTGGTTTAACACTGCTTACTAATCCCTTGCTATACCTACCGTCTTCACCCGAATAGAACACCAGGTAATTATTGCCGTATCTGGGCTGAAAGTTGTGCCAAATACAGCTATAATGACCGGGCGTTCTATTCGGGTGAAGACGGTAGTACCTTTCTAGGGCCTTTTAGAGACGAGCTCCATCTATTGGTGGGGGGCAGCACCTGCTGGAAACCGGGTCCAGCGTCCCTGAAATACATCATGGCATTGATTGGTTCATATGAATGAAGGAAAATGCGTATGATGGAAATGATGGCGATGAAAAAAATAGAATTGTACTATCTTAGCCGTTCTGGCCTCCTAATCCTAGAACAACTCCTAGCTCTCCCTTACCATGACATTCCAACTCAGGGACAAGACCAACCTAACCAACGACTACCATAGCTGATCTCTTCTCACCACCTAGACTAACCCCACCCCATAGGTTGTCGAGGCAGCCCCCCCGGTTCGCCACTGGTTTGCTTTCCTCCCTCAGCTAACCCCAGATCTCTCTACAAGGCCTCCCACTCCTGCCCAATTGCAGGTTACAGGGCTACGCCCCAGCTCCGGCCAGCGTCGTTCTGGCATCGGCGATCCAGGAGCATAGAACAGAGCAGCGCAACAGTTATCAGTCCAGGTTTGACGATCTCTGAATTCCTATATCCCTAGTGAGGTAGAAGACAGGGTGCCGCCTAAAATTATGAAGCACCAGAAGGCTTGTTTTGAGTTTTTGAAAATTCTGAAAAAGCTTTTATTGAATCTAAAGTATGTGGATATATCAGCAACTCCGGCTTCCTAATCCGAGGGCAACTCCTAACCCTCCCTGTACCAGGACACTACTACTCAAAGACAGTATCAACCAAACAACATCAACCGTAGCTGACCTCGTCTCGCCACAGAGACTATCCCCGACCCCAGAGGGTGTCAAGGCGGCCCCCCCAATTCACCACTGGATTGCCTTCCTCCCTCGACAAACCCCAGATCTCTCTACAAGGCCTCACGCTCCTACCATAGCAGGTTACAGGGTAACGCCCCAGCTCCAGCCAGCGTCGTTCTGGCATCGGCAAGTTAAGAGCATAGAATAGAGCAACCATACTGATGTCAATCCAGGTGTAACCATCTCTGAGATCGAAGATCCTAACAAAGAAGAAAGTCAGATGCTGCTCTAACTCTCAGAACCTCGGAAAGCTGAATGTAACATATAGACTGATGTAGTCACTTCGCAGAGAAAAAAATACCCTTATGCCACCACCCCTGTCCCACGCCAGCCAATTCCCGCCTAGAGGTTGCCTTCGCCCTCCCCTTTGTCCCTGTCTGCCCCCGCCGGGCTTGAAGGCGACCAACTCTCCCACCCCGGCCCCAGACAAGGACAATCCCCAAATCTGCCCCACCCCCGACAGGGCAGCCACCTCCCACCTTGCAGCGCCCCTGGAGAGTAAGGCTCCCCAACACCTCCCCCACCCATTCCCCAAAAATCCACACATGACCACAGAAACTCTAGCCCAATGATATGATTGATAATGATCGTGATACGATGAAAATTCTCGGTTGATGGTAATAACGTTGAAGATGTTGATGATTTTTAGAAAAATGGATAACCAAAAACAGCTCCCAGCGGATGATAATACTGATGACGAGAATCGACTTCAGTTGGTAAAGATAACGATGAAGGTAAATGATGTTGATGATGATGATGATGATGACGATGATGACTGATGACAAGAATCGACTTCAGATGGTAAAGATAACGATGAAGGTAATGATGATGATGATAATGATGATGATAATGATGACGATGATGATAAGGATGATATGGTGATGATGATGATGATGGTAATGATGATGATGATGATGGTGATGATAATGACAAAGGATGATGATGGTGCTAACTCGCACCTAATGATGATACTGATAAGGATGAACAACACCAATAGCGCCTTAAGATAGTAAACTATTGATGATGGTAGCACTGCTGATAATGCTAATCGTGAAGAAAGATGATGGTGATGAACCACGCCAATAGCGTCCTAAAATAGTAAACTATTAATGATGGTAGCACTGCTGATGATGCTAACGTAAAAGATGATGATGGTGACGAACTACACCAGCGGACTTACCTTGTTGCTGATAGTAGTGACGAAATCTACCTTGATGATGAGGACGAGTTGTACCCTGACGATGATGATGATGATGACAAGCAGCATCCTGATGATGATGACGAAACCCTCACCCCGGTGGTGATGTCGAAGCACGCCCTGTTGATGATGATGATAACTATGATGATGACGAGCAGCACCCCGACGAGCAGCCTCCTGGTGACGATGACGAAACCCTTACTATGGTGGCGTTGTCGAAACACGCCCTATTGATGATGATGATGATTCCAAGCAGCTCCAGTGCAACGATGCCAGATGATGTCGTTGAAGAGGATGACAACCCACGCGCACTTCAGGTCCCAGGGGCTGACTCCGCTGTGCTCCACAGGCACGGACTAACCCAACGCCTCATGGCCCTATGCCACGGGCAAAACCGCAGCGGCGATGGGGCAAAACGCGAAACTCCCGAGTTACCGTCGAGGGTCGGTCTATCCTCCACGTCAGCCAGTGACGTGGCCTAGACC